GAGGCCCCGGTTTACTCGTCGGAGGCGGCGGCTGGGGGAAAGGAGAACCCTCAGGCTGAGATCACCTACCTAGGGTCCTGAGGGGGGGCGCTGGGGAGGGGCATCCAGAGGCCACGGAGGGCTTGGAGGTGGGTGGGAGTGTGTCTCAACTCACCAGACCTTGGTTTTCATGATCTTGTTTCTGGAAAAGAGGAGGATGGCAGGTGGGTGCCATAAGCTCCGCCCACCCGCCCCACCCCGGAGTGGCTGGGACCAGAAGTCAGGGGTCTCTGGTCAAGGTTTGACACCAGTGTCAGGACTAGGCTCAGGGTCTGGGCTGGGTCAGGGATCAAGGGCTAGGGGCCCTCACAGGCAACGTGTACAACCGGCCAGAGCCCCCTCCTCCTCGTCCTCGTCGCCCGCAGTCTCTGCCATCGAACCCGTGTCACTGGCTGGGAGACTGGCTAAAGGCAGAGTAGGGATCGAGATCAGGACCCGGCAGCCCCAGGGTCCTGCCTCTGCCTGCCCACCCCGCCCCCGCCCCAGCCTGTCTGGGTCCCCACCATGGCTGCTGGTAGAGTGCGTGGAGCGAGTGGAGTGACTGAACCAGCGCAGACGTCCACGCCGCCGACTGGTCAGCTCAGCCAGCTGGGGCCCTGTGGAGTCACAGAAGACAGTTGCAGGGGACGGTTTGGGGGCAGGGTCGGGCCTCGTCTAGGGTGGGGGATGTCACTTGGTGTCTGAGGCTGGCTCTAGATTCTGTGCCCAGAGCCATGGCTGGGGGCGGGGCCAGGGTTTGCTGCAGGTGGGGGTTGGGTCTCAGGACAATGGAATCCATGGGCCCAATGCGTGGAGCGGGAAGGGCGTGGGCCAGATCGGGGTTGCCTGCGATGGCCAGCCCGGCCCTCTTCAGTCACAGAACCAGAGGCGCCATCTGCCGAGGGGTCCTCGAGGTCCAGCTCCTCCGCCTGTGTGATCCAGTCCAGGTAGCCCCGTAGATCCTCCTCTAGCTGCTGCTTCTCGCGAAGCTTCTGGAAGTCCCCACGGGCTTTTGCTTTCTCCCTCTCCTTGGAGAACTCCCTGAGTGGAGAGGAGGAGAGAGCTGGGTGGGAGAGCTGTCCCACTACCTTTCCATCACCCTGCCAGCCACACTAACCTCTACTCCCTACATTGTTACTCAAGTAACACTTTGAGCAGTTCTGTCCTGACATCCCTACTTCTAATAGCAAGAGCTCCCACTTATCTTTATCTTTCCTTTCTTTCCATAGTGCATGAAAATGTGGGTGCATACATCACACACACATAATTTATTGTGCATGTTTCTATTGTCTGTTTGCTCCCATCAGGAGGTAATATTCTGGAAGGCAAGGATTTTTTTTTTTTGGTCCCTTGTTCCATTCCTAAAAAGTCTTACACACAGTTGATGCTCATGATTGAATATAGGAGTATTTTGGGTGGGTTTTGAAGGATGCCTAGGAGTTTTCCAGACATACTAAAAGGGAAACAGGGGTTGTTAGGGGTTGGGCAGTGGGCTAAGTCTCTCACCCACTCAGGACACCAAGCACAAGGTTGAGGACGAAGAAGGACCCAAAGATGACGAGGCTCACAAAGTACAGCCAGGGCAGCTCATACCCCATGGCATCCTGCATCTGGGGAGTGAGCGTATGCATCCGTCAGAGTATGCCAACACTTGTTCAGAGCTCAGTGAGGAAGGGCGGGCACAGCCTCGCAGCCGGGCACTCCCCATCCACCTCACCCAGTAAAGCACATCGGTCCAGCCTTCCATAGTGATGCACTGGAACACTGTGAGCATGGCAAAGAAGAAGTTGTCGAAGTTGGTGATGCCACCGTTGGGCCCTGGCCAACGCCCTCGGCACTCGGTCTGGTTCAGCGTGCATGCACGCCCCGAGCCAGAAGATGCACAGGGCGAGGGGTCCTCCTCCGCTTCCACATCTGTGAAGAGAGTGGAACTTGGGGCTTCAGGGGAATGCCCACCTGCAGGAGCTCCCATCCTGGAGCTCCACCCTCCTAGCCAGCTTGACTCAGGGTCCTGGATTTTTTCTAAGGCAACGGCAAGTCCTTAGCTCCACTTTTTTAGGGCCGAACGCTCTGAGGTCTGGATTCTGAGCTACTGGGAAGCTGTGGGTCCCACCAACAGGGTTAGAGAGAGTGGGACTCAGAGTCTGCGAAATTCGGGACCATTTGTTTCCTGCAAACAGCAGAGGCAGGGTTTGGCCTGTGATCTGGATGGGCGGTGACGGTCACGGTCTCGGTCACGGAGGATGGCAGCCTTAAATGTCCGACCGGAAGTTGGTCTGTGGGTGGAGTCTTGGGATAGGGGAGCTTCTATTTGCTACCGGGGTTTTAAGTCCCGGATTTAGGGCGGAGTCTTGGATATACGGGTGGAGGAGCCTGAGCTTAGGGGCAGAGTCTTGTGAATCCGAATGAGTTTCCTTGGGAACAGGATGGGGCCTAGGAGCTGGCAGAGGGGAAGTGTCCTGTCCCTGGACAGGTGGGCTGGCTGACCCGATCCCAGGAAGTAACAGGTCTTGTGCATGCGTCCTAGGAACAGCTCGAGGCCGATGATGGCGTAAATGATGATGACGAAGAGCACCAGCAGTGCGATGTGTAGCAGCGGCACCAGCGCCTTCATGATGGAATTGAGCACGATGTGCAGGCCTGCGGGCAGGGAAGGGCCGGTGATGTAGGGCAGAGTCAGCTCAGCCCCCCTCCACAACCCCGAGCGGCTTGCCACTCACTCGGAACCCCAGACACCAGCCTCAGTGGCCGCAGCACGCGAAATGCCCGCAACGCCTTCACGTCGAAGCCCCCGGGCTTCCCCCCGGTGTGCGGGGCGTCCCCGGGCCGGCCGGGACCCTGCTCCAGCAGCACGCTGAACAGCCTGACCAGGAACACGGGAGGGAGAGGGAGGCGG